GTGAGCCCATACTGAAAAGCATTCCAATCGCACTACCAACCAGAACAATGGCAATCAGACTGACTCCTGCAACGAGGAAGAAAGGTGAGCTGATGTCTCTTTTCTGACAAGCTGGTCCACCCCATTGAACTGTCTTGGTGGTGCCATCATTATTCCGAACGACACTTTGTTTGCATTTGCATGCGTAACAATTGCCTGTAGTTCCCTCAACGCCCGAGCCGTATTTCAGATAGCAGGAACCGTGTCCGGAGCAGTCATTGGTAGATTCGGCACACGAGGAGTTCGAAGCATGACAGACAGGCGCTAGGGTTGACTGCAGCGCAGAATTCTGCATCGACCTCCTGAAGGCATTTTGTTGGGTAACTGGTTCAGATGATTGCTTCGTGCCTCGGCGACTGAGACCTGCTGGTTTAATACCAGCGGGTAGAACCACGGTAGTGATTTCCCGGTTCCTGGTCGACGATATTTGAGCTAGATGAAGAAGCAATTTCTCTAGCTTGGCTGCAAGAAGAGAATCACCAGAGACATTCTGCATTGGTGACGTGGAATCAGAAATCATTCACCAGCTATATAGGGGGAAAGTCCATACCTTAAAGGACAACTTCAAAGCCGAATCCTTGTGATCCTTGCTTATCCAGGATTCCACTGAATCAATTAGTGTAAGGAAGTCACGGGCGAGCAGATCAGACCCGTCAGCAAACATGGGGTCCCTGGATAGGCATTCCTTGGGTGCCTGTTATAACTTAAAGATTAGCGAGAGCGCCTGAGGATCATTGAAGTTGGCTTTGCTACCTGGGATGTTGACGATGAAGCCCTGCCAGCATCGTTGTAGTATGTGCAGATTTGTCCACGGTCCCCTTTCGCAGTAGGGCTGCTTTCGATAAATGATTCCAGGAGATCAAATCCGACAAAGAGCGAGGAAATTTGAGGAATATGAAGGTGGTCTGGTTGGGCCTTTTGCATGACTAGGGCTGCAGGGACATTAGCTAAAGTCTCCAGTGAAGTGTGAGTCCGCTTCCACTTACCAACTTCCTGGTCAATTCCTTCCAGAATAAAGATGCTTTTCTTAGGAGCAATCCCCCCAGGAGCTCCCCCAAAGAGAGTGAGGTCATCTTGAGCAAAATGATTCAAGCGGTTCACAGTGTTCCCATCCACCATTCCGAGCACCGATGCAACAGAAGACTTCATGCGAAGCTCCAAGACAAGCCGGGCCTCATCTTCTGATATTGTTTGTTGTTTTGGATTAGCAGTTAAAGAGCTTGCTGTCTTGGGAGGAAACGTGAAGATTGTAGCATCCAGCGCGTTTGCTTGCAATGCACCTGTTAATGCCAGGGCAAGGAAGGCGGACACACAGCGCATATTGCTAGAATCGGGAGGGCCAGCGGTAAAGTAAGACTATTTTGGCAGACGTGGCAATGCCCACATCAAGATTCTCTTCCAGGGATATCTGCTGTTTGTTGAATACAATGGCAGGAGTCAAGGACAGAGTACCATTTGGCTACGGACGACTTGGGGGCATCCGATAAGATATCACTAAAGCTATCACGTGGTCTAGTACTTCGTATATACTGTTCAACCGAATATTGCCGGTACATGCAATGTCCATATCATTAATTTATAACCCAGGAGCTTGTTCTAGCAGTAATACTATTTCATTCTCAGATATAATTCTCAGATATCATCATTGGTACCTGTATGTATTGCATTGTTGTACGTGTATACAGTGGATATACGAACTTAACGCAACGCTGCAACGCCGCATATTATATAATCCACCAGACCGCCGTGCCCTTTGCCCATTGTCAAACTCGCGACACAGATCCCGGCGCACATCAGGCTTCAAGGATTCTGTCCATTCCTTTTCCCCCAAATTGAGATGATAGTCTAGTGAGAATCATTGCAGGGATTGGCTTTTCCCAATGCTCCGGCTTAGGTATCTGCTTCGAAGTCCTCACGCACGCTCGTCTCTCTTCAGTCCTACACACGCTCACGCTCGTTCCGACTTCTCAAAACCAACAAATGTGCGACGCGTGAGGTTTAGGCGGCCCTGGATTAGGTAGGGAGCCCCTATCTTTTGGCAAAATCAATGTCTCTTTAGTCAGACTGACGTGTGGAATCCTTCAGGTCGTTCATATCAAAATGTCTTCTGTACGGCACCGCATTCCACCTCTGGAGCACCTTCGTACTGATACGATTTGACGACGACACCGATGATGCCGATCTACCTCCTGTGACCAACCCGGAGGAGATAGCCCCACGCCAAACTTCCTTGGGAAGCGGTGAAATCACCGGGAAAGAGGTCGGGAAAGAGGTCGAAAACGAGGGAGCGGTGTTCATACCGCTTGCCTGGTCTCGTTTGCAAAAAGGCGAGCTATACACTACATCGGATCCAGAGTGGCGAGAATTTGTGAAGGTATCCAAGGATCGGAAGCAGCTTGAGAAGCTTAGGAGTGAGAAATCGATACAATCCCCGCTCAAGATCGTTCGCTTACGAGTTAGATGAACTCGCCACAATCGTTTTAGATAATGCTGGGAGGCATGTGTCACGGATACTTGGAGAGCCTCTCTCCCTCACAGGATTCTGGCTTGTCCATCAGTTTCCAAACCGTGCTCCTCCTGGATATGTGCGATCGGGGTATGTACTGCATATCTCTAAAAGATTGATTCTTATACTGACAGTAGGTAGGGTGGAGATCAAAAGCGACAGCATATCGTGGGTCGCAAAGCCGATGGACCCCGAAACAGGTGACAGATTACAGATCTTCATGAAACCAGTTCATGTTGCTCTAGCAATCAGAGATGCGTATCTGGTGCTATTAGTAAGACAACTGGATCGTTTCAGGAAACCTGCAGGGGAGCCACTGGATGCTTTTGATTCGTTGAACGATTTTTCTGCCACGCCTGGTGACGAAAGAGGGAACTGGATTGGCCAAAAGGATCAATCTAAGCTACAACCACCACTGACCGACGGACTCAAAGAAAATATGCCGCCTAATACCGAGAACTCCAACTACCACCCATCGTCTCTCATATCCTTCTTACAGCGGCTACCGTTACCAGACCTCGGCCCGGGGTCGGATCTGCACTTAGCATCACAGGCATTCAAATTACGCTTGAATCGTGAACGGGCCCAGACGCCAGGGTCTGCTCGTCGTGGAGCCTTCTTTATCACGGGTCCAGTTGGGTTGAAGGGACCTAATGGGTTTTGTCGATTTGAGGTGAAAGGCGAGTATGATCCAGCCAAGCGTGAATGGCGAACAGTGGAAATGACGCTCAAGGATCTAAACATGAGGAGGCAGAAGGCATTAGGAAGTTGATCACATATTCAGGACTTTTTAAGGGTTTCTTCTCAAAGCCTAAGGCATACCAGTCCCCTTTCAGGTTCACGGAATGTGTGTTGAGCTTAAGATTCATCTTGCCCTCTCTGTATGAATACCATGTACATACATCGATTTAGGGAATCACCACAAATTCGAGACCACTTCTACATTTACCAAAAGCAGCCATATCTACAAGGGGTATTAATACTCGGTGCCCGCGCCTTGCCTAGGTGTGGATATCTGAAGTACTAGGAGGCGCATCTCTCAATGCAATAGGGATGACCAAGGCTGGGCTTGAATGACCTTTTCAAAAGGCTATTTACAATATATATATCAACCTATATTACCACTAAGACGTTGTAGTACCTATAGTAACCGGCGTTTTACTAGATCGGCTCAACTTGCTCCTTATTTCAGTCACTACCTAGTGCAATACATCATGTTCTTTCAGTGTGATAAATTAGATGCGTAACCAAAAAGCCACACGACCAACTAGCCAAAGTTGTAGGCAGCGTGAGAATGGATAAGAGAAGAAGTTACTTGATTTGCTAACCATTAGCAAAATACCTAGGCAGGCAACGAAAGCTGGAAACCAAATGACCAAGGACATCAAGTGGATGGTCCAGGTATGCACCTATCTGTCCGCCCCTTTCGCAAATACTTGGTCTGTTTGCTTTTCCCTCTAACATCGGATAGCGGGACCAAGCAGAGGAGGTCCATGCCTCCGCCCACAGCAGTCTTCAACGTACGATAACTTGACTGCGATGATATCCCAAGATTTTCAAATCAAGTTCAGGGAGTGGAGAAGCTCAGTATCAGTGGCAGCCTCGCCGCTGTCTAGTAGGGAGAATGACTTGCCAAAAACGCGAGTTAATGGTCACACGAGAACAGTCCAGGTGTATATGTGACAAGAGAGATGCTGGTCTTCCGTATGGCATAATAGAGCGAGCCTGATCTAGCGTGTCAATGAAATGGCGGGTAAGAAGAAAATGAAACTCGGTCTCATTTCAGAACTTCAATTATGAAGCTTTTGTGGACGCTAATGAGCAATATTGCGAATGCGTGTGCCTGCCATCAACGAACATAAAGATATGTCTTCTCAACTGCTCATATTTCTGAGCACAACGCCGCCAATCAATGACTAACTTATTGTTGGAGGGGGGGTTGGTAATTAAGAGGGCGCCTACAAGACGGTTAGTGATACATCCAAGGGAGTAGTTTGCAGATGACCGACTTGAACAATAAGATATGAGGTTCAGGTTCATGCACCTCGTAATGCTCCCAGCCCAAACTCTGCACGCACATTGTTAGGACCTTTGCACATCTTCAGATTATGTTCGACATACTTGTGTAATACCCAGAGCTCGCCATTCCTCCTCCCAAAGCAATTTCAGAGTCCCCTTAGAGCTGTCGAAGTAGTCCGTGGGGATCTTTTTGAGCATATTCTTTGGGAGCTGCACATGGCGGTATTCAAATTGGTCGTCGTTGTATCTATTGGAGGAGTCAATGGAGAGTCTACCACAATGGCATGGGGTCCTCACCTTGCTGAGTAGTGAATAGAGTCAATAAATTCGTCGAGCTTCTCGCGCTCCGTCTCCAAGAGGAGACGAGGCTTCTTGTTGCGCCTAGCTGGGTCGATGTCCATTGGGATAGCAGAATGAGAAGAAACGGCAGTGCGAAGATCTTTCAGCTATACAGATTGTCAATGTCAGTCTGCTCCATGTGTTCAAGCAACAAGGCCAGTAAAGAAGTAGCCTGAGGATGCGGCTCACAATGTGGCGGAATGATTATCGCATGTAGCGACAATTGACGACGCACACTCACAGGGCTTTTGTAGCGGCCCTAGAGTCGTGTAAGATGATGTGATTTTGAAGAATCAGAGATGCCGAGGATGAGTGAGCAGGTGAGAATGAGAGTGACGCGATAGAGAAAAGAGTGTGAGTTGTCGAAACAACAATCACCGGACTTGTTTTGCGGGACTCGGGAAAATAGTGGGGGAAACAACCATTAGGCGCCTTAGGTGTCAATCCAATCGCTGTGATCACGTGACGAAAATCAAAATCGGCGCCAAATTTACATTACGTAATTATCTGGAGACCCACCAGTCTTACCTAAGGCGGGATGACTCCGTGGACGCGTCGGCAACACGTCTAAGACGAGGAATGTCTATGAGATCTCCCTTTGCCATACTCTATCACTACTTGTAATTCTTTCAATCAATTTGACCCTCTGTTTATTAAATCTATTCTAAGTCCCTCTGTGGTCTTAAGTTACATATTACTACATTCAATGTGTGACTTGACTCGCGCCTCGGGACGTTATCAGAACTAAACCAAGATGACCTCAAAACGACGGGCGGCTGCCGCAGCTTCCCCGGATATGAAGTTTCGTAGAACGAAACGCCGAAAGGTTTCGGTAAGTATCAAGTTGTTGCATTAAGTACATATCGGTTGGCCCTTGACACTTGAATGGAGGGCAATCGCGACATTGTTACTGTGGCGACTTACACTGTTCAAATGTCTATTCACTACCCGATGTCGTTGCTTTGCGCATATATATCGGAGCGCATGTTTCAATTGCTAACTCAAGCTGCGATGTGTGATAGGACGATGATCTCATGTCTCCCGGAGAGTCTAATCGTGCGTCGTCGCATGTGGACTCAGAGCCACCAGAGGAAGCAGATCGAACCCCGGAGTTGCAGGCAGAGTCCGAGGCGGATTTTGAAGGTGATACCCTTCAGGGTGCACAGGACAAGATTATGTCCGAGCTGACTCGGCTCAAGGATTCTGAGTAGGTATCACCAATCCTGACCCTTTGCTTAAAGCTGATGCCCCGAACCAGTGGCCAGGACGTTTCTTACCCGTTCATTGGAAAACCAGACCGGAATCTATACCGGGATTATTATGAGATCATCCAACATCCCGTGTCATTACGAAGCATTCAAAAGAGAGTTCGTGGTACAGACAGCAGGAAGAATTCATCCAGAACCACCGCATATCCTACATGGCAGTCCTTTGAAGAGGAAGTTAGCTATGTATGGCGAAATGCTAGGGAGTACAACGAAGACGACAGCGATATTTCCATCCTCGCGGGAGTTTTGGAGGTAAGCCTATGCTGCAACGCTCGTGCCATCTGTCCCTTTCGGCATGCTGATATTAGAGTCCAGGATCACTTCCACCGACGGGTTGCCGAAGCCAAAAGGCTTGTTCCGAACCCCCTTGAGGTAGATCGAACCCCGTCTTGCATCAAATTGAAATTGGGCACTACTGTGCCCCCAATGGCGCAGAGGTTAACCTTGAAAATGCCTGGGCAGAGCTCCGATACACTATCCAAAAGCGATGGACAACCCTCAGATGTCACATTCAAGGACGAGTCCCAGGGCCATAGGCAAGATATTGCTGGGGCTGGATTAGCGGGTCAAGAGATTAGTAGATCTCCTCGAGGATGGTCTCTTGGAGGGCACCCTGACAGTGCCAGGTCCAGCACCACAAACACACCATCTGGTTCAGAGAAACAACAGAACAGTTCCATGAGCGCCCAAGGCTTACTGAGCTCAGTAACGAAAGCAACCGCCCCGACAATGCCCACTTCGCAAAATCCGGCCAATGCGTCTTTTGATGTCTCTTCAGATATCACTCGGCATTCATCTTCGGCTTCAGGTACGTTACTCTTAGTAGACATTTTGTCGCCTCGAAAGTGTTGCTCGGCTCCCGGCCTTTGCTAACTCCTTATTAGCACATGCTCCCTACCAGCCGCATTTCGGTCCATCGCCCATGGATTCGCTTCTGAGGCGATCAGGCCAAGGTTTGCCTCCCACTGGACTTACAGGACTTCCAGCTAACTACGAGCCAGACCCAAGGATGGCTTTGATTCGTAACGTTCGGATTCTCACGCATGCCTCTTTGTCGTTGGAGTCGGACTTCTGCCTAGATATCCCGGCTTCGTCGCTTATTTCACAACAGAATATCACGGTCCACCTTCCTCCGTCGTATAATATTCTGACGGTCAGGCCTCGTTTAGCGGCTAGTACTTCCCAGCGACAAGTGAAAATTGTGACACTCATGGGTATGCAGCGTCTCCATTCATCTAGTGATGGAACTGCACTTTCATATGATATCCATCTGCACCCTGGCATGACAAAGGTCGACTTGGAAGCTATTGCTGGGCCTGCTAGGGGAGTCCCGAAATCTGGCCCCCCTGGGTCAGATGTTGATTATGAACGTGTCACTCTATTCTTTAATCTTTTACGTTAATAGTCATGTCAAATAAATGGTGTTTGTTTAATAAAGGGGCGGTTGATATGAATTCAATACATCGACTTGATAAAACTATATTGTTTCTTACAATATCTTTTATTCCGTTCTTCTTATATTGAATTCCCGTATTCATATATTTTATAATTGCAGTTTCATCTTTACCTTCCTGACTTCTCCCTGTAACCTCCCAGAATTTGTATTAGGACCCTCACAACTATATTGGGGGGGGGGCGCTGTGTGTTGTTAAGGGGCGGGCTTGGCTAACAACATACAGTTCTCGAGGCTGCTATTGTTAAAAGTACGGAGCAAAGTGTTTAATTAATCTCTGAATAGAGTCATAGTAATGAAGCAACCAGGCAGAAACAAATGCATGGTACCATAAGTATATGGAAGTTCCAACGCTTTCAAACTCTTTGCTCTTTCCCTTCTTCAGCTTCCCACTCTACCTGAAATCTTGATCTCACCTTTTTCCACCATGTCTAACGACAAACACTGGTTCCCCGAGATCACGAAAACAAGGTTATTAGCCTAGATAGCCATGTCCTTCAAAATGGAAGATCGTTTCGAAGATCAACCAGCGTGCGCTTCAGAAGGAGGATATTGATTCCCAAAGCCTATCCTACGCCTGTGCAAAGTACCTATGCCGAAACTGAACAGCAATGTGGGAACCTCTTTTTGCGCATTTATCAACAAATCCCGGCTGCTACTAACTACCAAACACCCCCTCCTCCCGCGCTCGTGAGAAATCAGAGTTCACACCACCTGAACTAAAAGCTTACCGGGCCCGAGCCGACAGGCGTTCTATACACACACCTAAGCTTCTAACGTGGAAGCAAGGCACTCAGGACAGCAACGAACATGTTCCAGGGGCCATATCACATGGATTGTTTGGGAAAGGATCGAAGGATTATGCCTTGGTGACTCCGATGGCGCAGGTCCCTTTTGGAAGTTAGACCCTGGCACTCGTGACGAGATCCGCGGCGCTTTCCTTGAGGTGTTTAAGTGACTCAATCCACCTAAGTGATAGTCTGACATTCTGATAGGAATTGACACTAAAATGATTAGTAGGAGCATTGAAGCCATGGGTATTATCCCACTCTGGGTCGGACCTAAGAAACCTGGTCCGGAACTTCCAGAGAAAGACACTGTATGTGACTTTCTCCAACCCTAAGAGCCGCGCTAATATGTCGTAGCCACTTTATCGGTTTCCGAGTTCCCGATTTCTACACAAAATAGGGCGGGTGGGGACGAGAGGCTTCGGGTTTGTTTGACCTTGCAAAGGCACCGGGAGACCAAGAATGCGCAGACGACGACTGGGACGGTGATATGTCCCAATGGGAATTTTGAGAAATTATGAAGCAAGGTAATTCGCAGCACTTCATCTCGCCTCTGAACACCCAAGTTGCTATCTGTGGAACGTGACTCCCTTCAGAGCCATACTGCCCATACTCATCCCTCTATTCATATTTAATCATTCTTCAGAAATCGAAACAAAAGTGCACCTTGCAAGAAGAACTCGCTCAAACGTACAAGCATCTGGGATGGCCTGGCAGTTGGACTGCGGCCAGTTTGAGAGATGGGGCTGTTGCTGACTCCGAGGCTGCAAACCCTTTCACCACATCGCTGGGCCAGGCGGTTTGAAGTGCGACAGGGAATCCCAGGGTAATGTTATACACGTCGTTGAGCTACAGTAAGGCTGAGACTATTCTACAAGAAAAAAAGGTGACGCCTTTTTTCTCTCGCTCAATTGCACCTCAAGCTCTAGTTCCTAGAAAGGCACGCACAGTTCCAAAGTTGGGCAAGCTCCTTTTTGTCTTGGCCGGACTCGTAACTTTCTTGACCTCCATTTGCACAGTGTGGCGAATGTAAGCCCCTACCATTAGAAATCTCTTCCAACTTGAGATAGTTGAGAACGACTTCGCCCAAGTGGAGAATGTTCTGGAGGAGACAATGAATAAACCTGAAGTAGAAGAGAGGGGAGTGTTTAGCCGATAGTGTAGTGGCGACCCTACTTCCCAGGGGGGACAGGGAGAGAGTGGACCTCGGCCAATATCTAGAGTAGGGTGTGATGAATTCACATTTGATGGAGCGGGCCAGTACAAGCTATGCTTGTATCACAATAGAGATGCCAAATTGCTTGATGGTTAGGATGTCTGCTGGGCGCCATCATTCTTTCACTTTGGTCGTATTCTGCTGCTGTATTCCCGACGCTTCACTGGATACTGATTTCGTTATGGTCTCAAAAAAGTTCATGGCTGATGGACTCGACCCTACCTGTCTATCCGGGACGCATCTCCGCCTCATGACTGATATATCAGATCCCTTCTTATTTGGCCGCGATGACCTGCGGTCGACTACGATAGAACCAGGTCTCCGTGCTGTGGGTATGCCGATCGAGCTTGCTAGGTGCCCTGAGTGCGGAGCGGGCATTGGATAACAGAATCACCAGGCTGTTCAGGGTGTATCGCGAGCAGAGCAGATGGAGTAAGGGTATGAAATTGTGACTTGATTTTGAGACGTTGGCTATCCATTTTATTACCTTCGTCTTAAGAATGATCAACTTAGAATGATATTCCACGGTCATGTTACCTTCTACTTATAATGTGAATCGATGAATGTACAGGACGTCGCTGTAAACATAATCCATGTCAGGTGGTGTCTAGTAGATCAAATTGATATAAGCATGAGCAGGAATTAGTAGGAAGTATTCAATGGATTTTGCGCCAGCCGGGATAAGTAGACCTTGGTATTCTCGTATACCAGGAAGGTCACCCACGTGCTTGGAAGTACCCGCAAAAGATTTGGAACAAGACCCTTATAGAAACCTGCGATCCCTTCTTGGGCCCATACCTGGGAAAAGACATCAATGGCCCCACGGTAGATCAGATGGCCCTCATAAGTTTGCAAACGGGACCTAATTACTTGGTAAGGATAAGTCACACTACCAGCGAAGACTTTTGATAGACCGGAGATGGCAAAAAAATCAACATTACCCAGCACCCGTTCGGCGCCCAAATGATTGCTCTCAGTTGAGCCCATGGTATTCATCGACCGCAATCTGAAAAGCTTCAACTGCTCATATGCCATAAACTGAAGGGCACCATGGCTGACGCCAAATAGGGCTGGTATGAGACCTCGGTAGAAGCCGGGTATTCCTTCCACCTTGTATATTTGTTTTGCTCCAGACGTAAATGAAGAATACGCCCCTGGAGCATGGGAACCCGTTGACAACATGCGAGTTTTGATCACCCAGATTGGATTCGTGAGGACCGACGTAATAACGCCTATAGAAATCCGCAGGTTAATTGAGGAACGGAGGAACGATGCTGAATTGGACATGATATGTGCATACCTGCACTGCCAGATGCCAGAAGATAATCAGACGATGTGAGAATCTGCTCCCTCTCCTTGCGATAGATTCGAATACTATCCTTCAAGCCGCTGTAGCATAAAAAATACAACCCCCAGCTTGTGGAATTTCCAATAAGATTGGGGGTAAGTCCCCGGTAAAAAGCGGCACAGCCACCCTCATGATAGTAGATCTTACGAATGATTCGCAAGGAACCCCCAAATCGGGAAGATGATCGATCGACTACATATACCAAAACGGAGTTAGTTACTCTATACCCCGGAGTGGTCAAGATAATATCAAAGCTTGCCTTGTAGCCTTGTTTTCACCATGTCAAGAGGATGTAGCGACAGAGTTGACACGATTCCCGCTGTGAATCCTGCTACGGTCTCCACAAAGGATGACGAGAAGCCATATTGACTAGTCATGAACCTGCCTTAGACGAAGATAGGAAAGTTCAAGAGAGACAGATGGGCATAGATAGAGAGTGTGTGTTTGGAGAACGATGTCAAGAGAAGGGGAAGAACTTTAAAAGAGAGATGACGAGATGGAAAAGATTCCGAGAACATCAGAACATGTGACCGCCGAGTAGTCCGAGAGTGATAACTTATATGAACCGCAACATATCAATCTTCTAGTTTTTTTTATTCTATTTATTTATACGAAGCTCAGTTGTTCCAAACTTATCACAGGGTTACAGAATTTCTGTACAAAAGGGGACAAATATTGGGCCAAAGACTTAATTAAAAATACAAATCATCCAGCTTTCACAAGCTTCAAAAAAGTGACAGATATTCAAACCCATTATCACTCGCAGAGGGAATAATAGATATACTGGGCCATATCCATCCCATCCGCATATCCTGTATCATCTCCTCCAGTCAACGCGTCGCTTAGGCAAGAGGCGAGAACAATCTAGGTATGAAGTTAGTCATAACAGCTGGAATCCATGGTGTTGAAGAGTACCTGAACAACGTCGGCTTGGGCTCGCTATAGGTGTAGCCTAGTTTGCTGTTGTTAGCTTATTGGGCTGAGCACTGCAAATCGGTATATAGTTACATACCCAGATAGACAATCAGAGGCAAGTATCCGCTAGATGGTTATCGCCGGTCAGCTCGGACGATGACACGGAGATGCTATAAGGCTCACTAGTGAATTGCAACCCGGGAAATATCAATGACCTTCGAGACGCGCTCCTAAACAGATTTAAAAGAGAGGGTTAGAAACCCGGTCTCAAGGAGGATGTGGGTTGCAACTAACCTTGGTCTCCTCAGAGAATTGAACCATTGTGAATTTATTACGTGAAGTTGGGGAGGTTTCAAGGAGATAATAAGAAAAAAGAATTGATATTGATTCGAGATCGATTCAAGTGAATAAGTGGGAGGTGTGGTTGATGAAGTGGAAGCAGGGAGGATTTGCGGAAATCAAAAGTTTTCGGGAAAGGTCACTGATCATCCCAGCTCCGGCTTTCACTTCAACACTTTCACACCTCATTGTCTCTCCACTTCCACTCAAATTAGTCGACACTGTTGGTCCAAGTTTTACCAGGGCTTTCACGGCATATTGATTGTACTTGGATCCTTGAGTCCTTTTCCTTTCGTGGGAGCTTCTCTCTCCTCTCTCCAATTAATCCACCAGCGCGATGTCTAATGCAAGGCATTGGTAAGACCCTCTCTCCCCACCACATGACCCTGATGCTAATTCAACCTAGGGAACAAGATAAAGAGGCAACTGTGTACATCGGAAACCTTGATGAACGGGTCTCAGACAGCCTGGTATGGGAATTAATGCTGCAGGCTGGGCGCATCGTTAACGTCCATCTGCCGAAAGACCGGGTCACGCAGTTACACCAGGGGTATGGATTTGTTGAGTTCCTCAGCGAGGAAGATGCCGAATATGCGTCGAAGATCATGAATGGAATCCGTCTCCATGGCAAGCCTATTCGTGTTAACAAGGCATCGGCTGATAAACAAAAGACCGTGGAAATTGGCGCCGAGCTGTTTGTGGGTAATCTTGATCCTATGGTTGCCGAGCAGGTTCTCTTTGATACATTCAGCCGGTTTGGCAATCTTGTCAATCCGCCTAAAGTGAGACTCCCCCGATTACAACAAGATGGACATTGTTAATGGCCTTTTTATTATTTATCGTTACAGATTGCTCGTGATGACAACAATCTCTCGAAGGGATATGGATTTGTTTCTTTTGCCGACTTCGAATCCTCGGACGCCGCCATCGCCAACATGAATGGCCAGTACCTGATGAACAAACAGGTTTCTGTACAGTATGCATACAAGAAGGATGGGAAAGGCGAGAGACATGGTGATGAAGCGGAACGAATGCTGGCAGCCCAGGCTCGCAAGCATAATGTACAGCCACCGATCCAGCAACCTCCGCAGCTCCCTGGCGCTGCGCCGGTGGTACCAGCAGCGCCTGCCATGTCAAACGGCGACAGCTCTCGACCCTTGAGCACAGGCCCGTCACAAGCACCGGATGTAGGCATGAACCGGGGTATGCCGCCAGCTATGCCGCCAGCTATGCCGCCAGCTTTGCCCTACCAGAGTGCACCCCCTCCAATGCCTTACCAGACCGTTCCCCCTCCTACCCGACATGTTCCACCTCCCGTCCCTTCACTCAATACCCCACCTCCCGGGCTCCCAGCCCGACCTCCGCCTTCCCAAGCTGGCTACGGCGGCCCGCAGACCTTTATACCACCTGGATTCAATGGTGCAGGTCAACCGCCCTTCGTCCCACAGGCTGCAGCTCCCCCTGGTTTCGGGCCGCCTGGATTTGGACCTCCAGGTGGGGCCCCCTCATTGCCACCAGGCTTCCAACAGCCCGGATACGGAGGAAATCGGTGATTCTCAGTGGCCTTCAGAGAGCCCCTCTTCTCCCAAAAGCTATGATACCTCTAGTCAAATTGAAATGGAAGCTTTCAGTTTTTCTTCTTCTGTATTCCAGCGTCCAGAGGGAATTTGCACACCCTGTCAAAATGCAATTAGCTCTTTCTGCTTTCTTCTTTCTGGAGACTATACGTTACTTTATGCTCAACATGTTCCCAAATTTGAGCCTTGTCAGCCTTGTAATTATTGTGTGGCAGATGTTTGAATGTCTGGTCATCTCTCGGATGATTCATTGGCCCTGTGGTGATCATAATCCTTCGGCTGTATGTATGATTGATATTTATGGAGAGACGATGCAAGCGTGGAATTCCAAAGGCTCATCAACCCGAGACAATGCTAAATGACGACGCATACCCGATCTATCGTCGCCGAGCGGATAGCTACACTATCAACCGTGAGATCAAGGGCGAAACGATCTAGGTCGGTAGTGAGTTGGTTGTTCCTTACAATCCCTACTTGAGCTGGAAACATAAAGCTCATCTCAATGTTGGGGTTTGGACAAGTGTCCGTCCTATCCAATATGCGCATAAATATTTGCTGAAAGGATCGGATCTCTAAGCTCTATGCTCTTAGGCGTATTGATTGCCCCGGCCCTTTGTCGCAGACGCCTTCCTGGTTCACTGGTTTGATGAACGCTATTTCACTACCTCGAATGTATTGGTGCTTCGATCAGACTGTGCCTTGGCGCTGTCTGCCTATTGGCAGCGCTGGATGGTCATATGTAATATTAATGTCTATTGGATGACAAAACAGACAGACTTGTTGTATTCTGATAACATGTCAACTTAATAGGTCTCAATTGCCAAAGGATCATGCACAGAAGAGATCCACTAAATCGTAGTATTCCAAGCGCTCCGCCAGCACAGACGAGATATTACTGGGCAAAAGCCGGGACCTCTATTTGCACGGAACCTGTTAGCGACATGCCCTCTCTGACAATGGCCAAGAAGAAACAAAAAAAAGCACGCTAGGACTGTTGATATGGTTGTAGGCGAATCACGAAAATGAGACGAATTTGGGGTCCCTTGGCCGGCCATCGGGTCCGATGTCATTCTTCGCAAATCGTTGCTCTGTAAAAATCCGCCGTGCTTCATCAAAATTGACCTTTCGACTCTTCATAATCTTGATAACTTCGGTCTTTGCTCGTTGATCCAAACCAGCTCTCGAATCCCCATCTGCAAGATTGGCAGTGATGTCGAATTGTGACGAGCTCAGGCCGGCCTCGAGATCGGCGGTAAAACTTGAGGGAAGGCGGTGATAGAGATAATCAGGTACTTGAACTAATGGCATCCATCGTGACCGAGTGAGGTATAACGCTATAGTGAAATTAGAACCAAATCCGTTGTGGATGATTGCTTTGTTTCATTTGCAGTTGGAAAGATACTTGACCTACCTGTTCCACCGATGATAACCGAAAAGAGTAGGAAATAGAAGAGAATGTAGGTCATGATGATGAGTGAAACCGGTCAAGATTCCGGCGTGTAGTAGTAGTACTGTAGTATAGAGCTTTGCGATATTGCGACGTAAGGAGAAGTTGGCGCTCTTGAAAGTATTTCGAAGAGTATTTCGAAGAAGACCTAAGAGATGATGTGTGCCCTCAGGCAATAAGCTGTCGGTGAAGAAGGCATAGGAAGATTAGAGTGTGACTAGAAAGGAGAGTCATGGAGGGGGGCAACGTCAGCATCGCGTTCACATTATTGGCAGCCTGGAGGTCGCCGGAAGCCATCAGTCATGCCTTACTTAGCAGGCAGCAAGTCTATTCCTAAAGTAGCCGCCTTAGCGAGACCCCGTCCAACCTGAGGTCTTGGCATTCCAGACACACACAATTTGATCGACGTGACGACGGTTTTGATAGTGATTTCGATCTTTCAATTCTCCAACTCAACATCCCCTCTCATCACAATGGCCGCAACTGTCCCCAACGATCTGGTCTGGCAGATCACCCGTACGTCCGACCCTGCGCATTTTTCCTTTTCGAACCTTTATGCCAAAGCTTTTGGAAACCGAACTCTAGCTCATCAATCTTTGGAATAGGCAACCAGAACGCCTTCCTGGTTAACCGCAACTCCGGCGGTGGCTTCCAGTTCTCCCGGGACCCCCTGAACCTGCTGAACAAGCACTCCTACAAGGTACGGGCCTCGGGGATTAGACGGAATGGGAGATCCTCTCCGGGAATGCATGGCTAACGAAGGTCTCTTTTGGCGCATTATAGTATGCCGGTTATGCCAACAACAAGGTAATTATGCTCTACACTCCTGGTCTTTTGCCCTTTTTTTTTTCCTTCAATCATTTGGTGCTAACTATTTTCAGGCTATCGGTGTCCAGGCTACTGAGAACGGTGTCGCCGTGACCACTAAGAAGCCCAGCAACCCCCAGCAGCCCGGTCAGAACTTGGTCACTGTGACTTACGGTCCCCGCACCTCCAACCGCAAGTAAGCAGAACACGGTTTCTCGTCTTCTTTTTTTTTTTTTCTTTTTTGAGCAAGACACATGTATGTTGTTTTTACGACCCAGTGCTGATTATTATCTGCTCTCTAGGATCTACAAGGGTGTTGCCGAGAAGACCGCCAAGAACAACTACCGTGCTGATCTCCGCCAGGACGCCGTCGCCCGAGTCAGCGCCGTTCGCCGCTCCCAGCTTCCCAAGAAGGATACTCCTGCCCAGAAGCCCCGTGGCGCCAAGGCCCGCAAGGCCGAGGAGTCTGAGTAAATTCGTCTCGAGATGAGGCTGAATTATGGACCATGAAGGATCAAGGATTTGGGAGGAGACTTGATAGGCGTATGTAAAACGCCATGCTGGACTTGGAGACCATGACCATGTAATCTAGCAGTCTTTCTCCAAGGGCAGAAAAAAAATCATTGCCCTGTCTGAGACCTTCTAAAAGAGAAAAAAGAGTTCCTCAAAAAAAGGACAATTCTTGACCAGAACGGAAAAGAAATGAGCCAAGGGTATAGTAAAATCGATTCACAACCGACTGGTCGGCCCGAGCCACAATGTCCGGTTGTATATGAGAATATAGTCCGCCTTTTCCCGATACGACAACCCGGTCGGGGAAGTGTGGAACAAGTCCATATTAAGTACCTAGGTAAGGTACGAGAATTGCCGGACAGTCTGGAGAAAAGGAGCTTATGGATGAATGCATTCCTTATACAATGTTGTAGACAGATGAGAGAGCAAGGAGATTGAAGGCTTTTACAGATGTAATTAACCGATACAATAGAGGATAGTAAAGATTTAAATAAAGTAGAATAAAGGCGAATCGACGGGAATTGAGGTAAAACATCGTCACTTCACATGAAATCCGACATAAACATTCCGTTTTCCGGGGTTGCCCCTCTCACCCATCTCACCGGGGGCACCTGCCCCTCTTATAAATCGGTCCCCTCCCGAGGTCCTCTTAAGCTTCTCCCCTCATTCCTCTCCTATCTTCTTTCTATCTCTCCCTCTATACACATACACACACACATTCATCATGGTCAAGGCTGGTATGTTATTTGGCTGTTTTATCTATCATTTGCTGATTCGTCGTTAGTTGTTCTCGGAGCTGCTGGTGGCATTGGCCAGGTATACCCTCCTTCCAAAAGGGTTCTTATGACCTCAGCTAATAGATCCTCTAGCCTCTCTCCCTCTTGTTGAAGGCTTGCCCTCTCGTTGATGACCTTGCTCTCTATGATGTTGTCAACACTCCCGGTGTGGCTGCAGATCTCTCTCACATCTCCTCGGTCGCCGTACGTGACACACCGAAACATCGTGAATAAGCCTGTTAACAAATGGACTAGAAAATTACTGGCTACCTCCCCAAGGATGATGGATTGAAGCTTGCTCTGACCGGTGCTGACGTTGTTGTCATCCCCGCCGGCATTCCCCGTTAGTGGATCCGCAAATCGGGATGTGGTATTTTACTAACGTCTATGGTAACATCTAGGCAAGCCCGGTATGAGCCGTGACGACCTTTTCAAGGTCAATGCCGGAATTGTGAAGGGTCTCGTCGAGAGCATCGCCGAATTTGCCCCTAAGGCTTTCGTCCTCGTTATCTCCAACCCTGTGAACTCCACCGTCCCCATCGCCGCCGAGGTCCTCAAGGCTGCCGGTGTTTTCGATCCCAAGCGTCTGTTCGGTGTGACCACCCTGGATGTTGTTCGTGCGGAGACCTTCACACAGGAGTTCTCCGGCGTGAAGAACGCCTCTGATGCCACCGTTCCCGTTATTGGTGGCCACTCTGGCGAGACCATTGTTCCTCTGTTCAGCAAGGTTTCTCCCAGCTTCCAGATCCCCGCTGACCGTTACGATGCTCTTGTCAACCGTATGTAACAATCCTTTCCATGGGACGCATTTGCTGATATTTCCACAGGTGTCCAATTCGGAGGTGACGAGGTTGTCAAGGCCAAGGACGGTGCAGGTTCCGCTACTCTGTCTATGGCCTTCGCCGGTTTCAGGTATGTTTCACGCCGCTAATCCGGACCTACCATGGTGACTGACAAATACTAGATTCGCCGAGGCTGTCATCAAGGCTTCCAAGGGCGAGAAGGGTATTGTTGAGCCTACTTTCGTCTACCTGCCCGGTGTCGCTGGCGGTGATGAGATTGCCAAGGCCACCGGAGTTGACTTCTTCTCCACTCCCGTGGAACTCGGTGTAAGTCTTCAATTTTCCAGTGTGCTAAGCCAACTAACTGACAATGCTCGATCCAGCTCAACGGTGCTGAGAAGGCCATCAACATCCTTGATGGTGTGACCGAGCAGGAGAAGAAGCTCCTCGAGGCTTGCATCAAGGGACTTCAGGGCAACATCGAGAAGGGCGTTGAGTTCGCCAAGAACTCCCCACCAAAGTAAGGCCTCCTTTCCCCCTGTCCGTTGTGCACCATGTATATCGGGTGGGTCTCTTTGTGTCGGTAGATTTCTCGCTGGTTTCTCCACGGCTGCGATGACACGGAAAATAGCAGAGCGTTGCTAATCAATCTTCTCCCGGAAAGATAGGCTTTGAACGTGAGACCACGAGTTTATGAACAATGAGCAGACACGAGTAGTGTACGGTCCGAAATCAGATGGGCAGGTTTGGCACACAAATATAGTTAACCGACCTGCAAATGGAAAGAAGTACAGTTTTCACCGTTCATATTTGCGCGTTTTGGGTATCTTGTCTCATGTAGCCAAGAGACTTGGAATCAATCCTTGTAGTAAACTGAAGGGACCACAAGGTCTTTGCAAGATGGAACTGTCATAAGTCATAGAGTAGGCGTAAATTGGAGTGTAGCGGCTAGCCCAGGCCCAGGCGCAACCATTTTAATGTTCAAGGCCGAGCCTGGAGAGTTTTGATCTGGAAAGTTGCACCTGGTAGATCCGAGGTCTCGGCCTGCACCGTCGTGTTAATACCCAAATTCGCTAACGCGCCCCGGATGATACCGCAAGGAAACCAGAGGTACTAGGTCAATCTATAAGCCGATAATATCCTAATTGATTGAAAAGGGGGGGATACTTACCGCCTGCGCCATGGATATTGCTTCACTCCGCACCGCCATGCTCATCCTACCAAATGGCCGGAACGCGCTGTCTGTCAAAACATAGACCCCCTATTTGTTGTTGCCATTAGTTTCATGGACGTCTCTGTGTAGGTGCAGCTGTGTCGCATCTCTCCGACATCATTTCTGTATTGCACATACCCGATGGTTCGTTTTCAAATTATCCACCTGTTTCTTGAATAGGACCGTCCACAGATCCTTGCAGAGAAACTTGATCACGTCAAGATTATCGGTAAATCGAGGACGGTCTCGGGCGAAGCTATAGAGATTGATACAAGTTAGCGCGCCGTACGACTGCAAGAGAAAAGCATATTTACCGCTCCGCAAGGCCTTGCCCAACACGATAGCCCAGAGCCTCTAGACGAAAGAATGTCGTCTCTCTAACCTCTTCATCTTCGTTTTCCTTTCCCTCGGTCGCAAGCTCCTTTGCCATACGCTCGGCCATTGGCACCAATTCTATGAGTAGGAAATCGAAGCATGAGGAGCTGAAGACGCGGGCATTTGGATCGGCATTTAAAGGGGAAGTTGAATCGAATGACATTATGAAGAGTGAAGGTGAACAGATCCAAAGGAGAGGCGAATGAGCAAGGATCCGGTTGATGTACGGAATAAAGGTGTGTTGATGGGAAGAACTGGAAAATGGGGAGTGGGAGTTGGGGGAGTCGGGGGAGTCGGGGAGTCTTTGACTTAACCCCCAAAGCCGGAATCCACCTGATATTGGCCTTTTTGATCTGTACAGGAAAATATAAATATATTTTGTGTTATTTAAAATAAAGAGAGTAATGGTCAATATATTTCCAGGCCAATTGACCGGTCAAAACTAGAATCATACAATCCCTCTTAGATACATAGCCACCTGTGATATAAGACTCCCGTCCGCCAGAAACTCCATGGAAATATGCATCCGAAAGAGAGACGACCAACCATTTGGTCGCTCGCAAGCTTGATTAAACTAAAAATCTAAATTCACGGTGGGTACGACCCGCCATTCAGAGGGCTGCTAGCAGGCGGCATATGGTAATCCTGGCGAGAAAAAGCTCGGGATGGCAGACTTGAAGCTGGCCTTTTAGGAGGTGGAACTGGGGACTCTTCATCTTCGTCACCGCTCTCAGTAAGGTCGATGACCTGAGCAATGGGTCGCTTTTTGCTGGACATGCGCATCGCAGAGGATGGGGTTGATGCCTCTCGTGACTGTGACTGCGCAGGTGTTCGCTCAAGAGCGACGTTCGTGGGTCCCGGTTCCTGTTTTACAACGGGCATCCCTGGTTCGCTGATCTCAATCAAGTCGTCGTCGTCATCAGAAGCGGGAGTCATCCCTCCCAACTTTGTCGCGTCTGAATCAGTGCGGCTTGACCATACACCGTCAGGTTCAACGGTGACTTGCTCAATCTCAGGTGACGTTGACTTAAGAATGTCATCAACGTACCTAAGCGATCAGTTAGGAAAAGAAACAGATATGCCAAGGGGATGTGGACTTACTGGTCAACTTGCAGAGACTCAAAGCTAGTCGCTTTGGAACACACAGGGCAAGTCCAAGTCGGAGCTTGTTTTTGTAATTCAAGGAATGAAGACGCATCGAAGCATTGGTTGTGTGCACAAACGATAGAGCGGCAAGGCACCTGGATGCGCAGGGTAGATAGAGGGCATTTAAGTGACATGACGCTTGACGTCGCGACAATGTCCGAGTCATTTGCGCGGTTTTGCACTGGAGATCTAGATTAGCAGAGTTTAACCCAAGGGAACAGGAGAGGTGCTTACTTTCGCGTAGGACTTGCTCCTTCGAGATGAGTTTCCGTGTCTTCAACTGCGAGACGAGATCGTCAGTCGGATGCTGCTTCACCAGGTTGGCAAGCGCGAAGAATTTCTGTGTAAGACGAAGTTAGTCAATTGGCCTAACAGATGCTCGACTGAGTAGAAACGGAATGAGCTTAACCTTTTGCGTCAACGCATAAGTCATGACGATATTGTTTGGGTAGTTGGGCTTTTTGCGAATCCAGTTGGTTACATCTGCAGGCTGTGTAGTCCCCGGCCTATTTTTCAGGCCTCTGAGATTGGCTTTGACTTCATCGAGATTTACTTTGAGTTCCACCTGATGTGGAAATGCAATATCCGACTTGGTGTATTGCGTGAGGCCTGAATCACCAGCGCAATAAACCATCACTCGAAGATTTGAGTCGGTTTGCAGCCTATAGGCAACTTGCTGAGATAACATGACCTTAAGTTCAACACTATCCCGCGTTTGTTCGCGAACTGGAGAAAATTAGATATAGATCAACAAGCTTCAAAGATATGTAGTAATATACCTTTACACTCCACGACTGGGGTCAACGGCTCCAGGATTGTGTAAAATGGACTTTCTTTGAAAATCAAAGGACCTGCAGATTTATGAGCGGCCGCAGGGGGTTTCATGAGAGGAGCACTCGGACTAGAGGAGTATGGATGAGGTGACATGGAAACCCCGAGCGGTGCAGATCGAGCCTGTGCAGGAGATTGAGAGACAGGCGATGGCTGGTATTGTGGACGAGTGGGTGATGGGTATGGCATAGTATTTGGAAAAGCAGTAGCACGGATGCGCCTGGCTAGAGCATCGAAACTGACAGGGTCAGATTCCGCAAGGGATTGGATTCCTATTTCGTTGGTCAGCGTACAAATCTTAGCAAGAATAGGGTGTGAAACAGAGGGACAAGTCATGACAAGAGTCAGGGAGAATTGACGAACGTTGAATAATGCGGAACTGTAGGGTTGCCTTCAACCCGGATACCTGAAGGCCCTCATACCTCAACAAATCTTTCAGTTGTGGATTTGTGAGGGGTTTGATGAAGGCCGTCAGTGTTGCGACCTCTGACGACAGGCTGGTCGACATGGCTGCTTCACAGATAAGAGAAGTGCGAAAGCAATCAAGGACTTGGTTCAGGGTTCCTCGAAAGACAAGGGTCCGATTCAGCCAGACCAATTATAAGGGCTCTGCATCGATACATCTCTTGGTTGGAGTAAATGTGAGGGAAAGGCCACAAACCCCAGTCACAAAAGGGTGGCCAAGTTGACCCTCGGAGGTGAAGGGAAGTGCTGGAGCGGTCTCTGGATGACATAAGACGAGCCTATCGGGGCCCGGGGCGGAGGAGGGAAAAAAAGTTGATTGTGTTATCACTGGCCATTTTATTTCCCACCCAACATCAGTTCATCGTCTTTTTGCGTTCTTGCCCTATACCCTGAAGTCTTGATACCTTATTTACCTTGTTGCTCCCTCTCATATTTCATACAATGGCGAAAAGTGTCCGAGCCAGTGTTTCCAAGCGCAACAGAGCCAATCTGCGCAAGAAGGTCTTTGGCCCACTGGTCGATGCCAGAACCGAAAGACTCGCTGCCAAGCTACAGGAGCTTGCATCACAGCCACGGCCTGAAGCCCCTATGAAATCAAAGATGGACGTAGGCGAGGATGAAGCTGGTATGTATCCTACTATGATTTTTCAAGGATACCGACTGACCTCATATTCCGTATTAGCCGAAGCAGCCAAAGCCCAGACTGGTGACAGTGAAGGTTAGTCTATGGCAATTCAACTTTTGAATGGCACTTTGAAACTGCGGAACGCTTACACGTCCAACACAGAGATGGATATCGACACAATTAAGAGCTCCAAGAAGAAGCAGGCACGTGTGCATAAGCGCAACCAGAAGCCTCGCAATTCGATTGTTTTCCAAAAGCGTCTATCTACAACCAAGAAGGGTCCCAAGAGGAAGTGAGGCGCTGGTGAGGGGCAATGAATGGATTATTTGACGAGATGGTGTGGCGGAGAAGAAAAAGGCGTTTGGGAGTCCACAATTACACCTGCGATTCACGTACATATGTTTCATAGTCTGTGCCTGATATACCATACCTTTCATCAAAAGACTTGGGATACTACTTGGATCTTGGAAAAGATAACCCTGTGGGGGAGTCAATATAGGTCTAATTTTAACGGACAAGTAAAGTCTAGATCAATTAGCTAATTTATTCATGCAACCCAGTTAGCTTCCAGCCCATCGAGGGTCATCTCATGAAGTATACATAGAGTATGGGTCCTGTCAAATCGAGTCAGCTCTAGCGAGCCGGTCGACCGCCTGACACCCTATACCATGACTAGTCTGTGTCCCTGTGAAGTCGTTCTCCTGAGCCGATGTTGCTCGAAAATGGCCGTGTTATTCCCCATTATCTGCATACAACATATTCCACCTAACGTAAGACCCTTCTTCATCCATCATCCTATCTTTTTATCTCATTCATATCAATAGATACTTTCCCATATTATCTTCACGGCCTACCGGAGAAGCTTTTTCCGACCAGAGAGCCTCTCTATCCTTGAAGTTGACTCAGACATTGAAGAACATGCATTCTCCGCCGTTCACTTCTACGATTGCTATGACGTATCTGCCTTCCATGGGAAAAGTATTGACGATGTTATTCATATTCTTCGAGAAGGTGTGACTGGAAATGCAGTAGCAGCAAACTTGTTCTACATTGCGGACGACCAGACGACCAAAGATCACACCTTGCTCCTGACTCAAGTCCAAGATCAAGAGAATGATACATGCGTGTCTAGTGTCCGACTCGCACCTGAATTTGCGAATGGAATGGCGATATTGATATATGATTCTGACCCCGACATATCAATCCAAGATATTCAGAAAGACGTCGATGAGGATGGCGTGTATAGGGGTGGGAGGGATACCCCATACCAATATGTTGGGACAACGAGTCACTACTTGAATCGTCCAGAGGCGTCAGAAGATGGCAATTGAATGCAATCCTAATATACAGGTAGATATAATGATATATCTATGGATGTCAATGGATTCACCCCTATATTACATAATAGGTACTCCAGAAGGCGGTGTGGTGATGCGCGTCGATCATAAACACGACCCCGGGATTCTGCCTCCCTTTGGAGACAATTCGACATGTTGACTTGAGGTTACAAGTTGTTCTGTCAAAGCTAACAGTCCATTTGCAAAATGGCGGGCTTCCGCAGCTGGGCGACAGTCATTGCCAATTTGCTGGTCCCCGTGGGCATACTCACCTTCTCTTCAGGATTCTTCCCCTATAAACCGTTGATTCCTGGTTTAGCGACTTTTGATGAAACAGGCGAGAATGTCACAGTATCTGCGGTCTTTGATAAAGTTATCTTCATGGTGGTCGATGCGCTAAGGAGGTATGATTGAATGATCTCAATCCAAGCTATACTGGTAACTAACAAGGTGTTCACATATAGCGACTTTGTATATTCGAATGAATCGGGTTTCTTGTTTACACAGAGGTGAGTGTCAATTTCAAAATTCACCATTGGATTGTTTTGAAATAACCGATTTGATACTAGCTTGATCCGGTCCGGGGCTGCATTGCCATTCACTGCCTATGCGGGCGCTCCAACTGTTACAATGCCTCGATTAAAAGCCATCACAACTGGTTCGGTCCCATCTTTTCTGGACGTTATTCTCAACGTCGCAGAATCAGATACCACATCAACGCTGGCATACCAGGACACCTGGTTGGCTCAATTAAAGGCCACAGGAGGACGGCTTGTGATGTATGGGGATGACACCTGGCTCAAGCTCTTTCCGGGGATGTTTGACCGAGCTGATGGAACTACAAGCTTCTTCGTGTCGGTCAGTTTTACTTTAGGCGTTTGTGTATTCGCAGTATTAGTATTGAAACTGAGATTCTTCTCGCAGGACTTCACCGAAGTAGATCATAATGTGACTCGACACGTTCCTGACGAGCTTGCCCAGGATGACTGGTCTGCTTTGATCATGCATTACCTGGGTCTGGATCACATAGGACATAAGGCTGGGCCGAAAAGGTAATGCAGCTCCCTATCCCATTATTAGGTGCTCTCTAACCTCCCTGACCTCCTAGTCCCTTCATGTTACCGAAACAGCATGAGATGGACTCTGTGGTGAATGAAATCTATACCGCAATGCAGCAACAGGACCATCTTCAATCCACACTTTTCGTGTTGTGCGGTGATCATGGCATGAACGAGGCTGGAAACCACGGCGGGTCCTCCGCTGGGGAGACATCCCCCGCGTTGCTTTTCATGTCACCCAAGTTTGAAGCCTTGGGCGGCCGAAGAGAAAGCCCTGTCGAACCATTTGGCGATATGCAGTACTACCAGATGGTTGAGCAAGCGGACATTGCTCCAACCTTGGCGGGGCTTCTTGGTATCCCAATTCCTTTAAACAGCCTTGGTGTATTCATTCCGGACTTTTTGGAGATGTGGGATCATGGTGTGTGCTCTGTCCCTAATGGCGGCCAAGTGGAGGGTAATCAGGAACTGACTCGGAAATAGGTTCTCATAAGCTTCGAATCTTGTATCAGAATGCCGAGCAGCTGCTGAACACGTTGACAACTACATTCCCTGGATTTACGTTTGGCCCCGATATTAGTACATCCTGTGCTTCGGAAGTCCCATCCGGTATTGAGGGAGCTCAATGTGCTTGGGCTCGAGTCCAGCGACTTCTCTCTGATAGGGATGAAGCAGATGATTCTTACTCTACAGCTGGCCCGGCTTTGTTGCAGTTCTTAAGGATTGCACAGGAGGTCATGAGCCGTACAGCTAGTAACTACGATGTCTCCAGACTCACTCTGGGCCTGTTGATCACGGTGATTGCAGGTTTACTTGTACTTCCGGCCACATACAAGGAGTGTACACGTCACAGATCTTCGGGGATGTTTTTGATGCTCATGATCATCACCTGTGGGATGATGATGTTTGCGAGTAGCTATGTGGAAGAAGAGCAACAGTTCTGGTATTGGATCTGCTCGGGATGGATTGTCTACCTGCATATCAAGTCGCAGTCATCTGCAAAACCGGTCTCACACAAACGCTTTGGATCATCAGTATATTGGTCTGACAAATGCATCATTCTTGTGCTCGCAATCACCCAGAGGCTCTTGCGACGATGGAACCAAACGGGACAGAAATTCGCGGCCGAGCCTGATATTGCTCGCACCTTCTTTGCACGCCGTCCAGAAATCTTCTGGGTTCTTCTCATCCTCACGTACGTGGATGCCGGTTGTCGTCTCTTCAGGAGTATACCAATATCTGGGATATTAAAGTTCGGTGCCTTCGCCCCTGCCGTGTTGGCCTTTACGTTCAAGTTGCACTTCGTGACTTCGGAATCCCCCGAACTCCTTGATGGGATGTTCATCTCGCAAATCATGAAGGAATGGCCCTACAGTCTATCATTGGTTCTACATGCAAGACTTGTGTTCTATGGACTTGCTGTCATTGTTTTGCTAGCGCTCTTTGGAGAACGATCAAGAGTTGCCCGAGGTGAGCCCACACATACCCTAGACTACCTCGGAGCTTGGAGACATTACTGACCAGAATCTTTAGGGCCACATGATATGATTCATGAAGCCCTGCACATCTTCCTAATGACGCAGTCTCGTGCCACTAATGTCCCCTTGTTCCTGATTTTCCGAATTCAGGCCGGCATTCTCTCTTCCATGAACCTCACAGGGATCGAAGTGACAATCACAACCTTGATCTTCCAATATATGACGTTCTTCGCGTTTGGTGGCTCCAATGCAATCTCCTCTGTGGACCTTGCTAGTGGATATAATGGTGTCGACAGCTACAGCGTGGTACTAGTGGGCGTTCTCACCTTCGCGAGCAACTGGGCAGGACCTATCTGGTGGGCTTCCCAAAGCCATCGTCTCCGGCCGAAGAATCCTACAGAACAAGACCCCTCGGCACTGTTGACCTTCCATGTTGCCATGTCCTTGGTTTCTGTCATGGCCGCCTGCACAGCCCTCCGGACGCATCTTTTCATCTGGACCGTGTTCTCCCCCAAATATCTCTACAGTATGGCGTGGGCTACTGCTAATCATGTTGCTGTCAATTTACTGGGCGAGGTTATTTTCTCTCGATCTCGATCTCATTATTCATAAAACAACATTTTTAGCCTAGAAATACATGTGTGGACATTCCTTGTAATCCGGTAAAAAAAAAGCACTGTATATAGAGGGGTATGAGACTCAAAATAAGCCGCTGAACAAATCATCGATAGCGTTCTTCTTCTTCTTCTTTTTCGACGTACTTTTTGAAACACCGTCCTCTGTAGGCTTTTCAGTGGGCTTCTCTTTGGAGATCTTTGACACCTTGGAGACGTTGGAGTCAGATTGCGAAATCTTCACCGGGGTAAGTGGCGCATTGTCAACCCGACCAATGCGTTCCCCAAGATCTTCCTTCGCAACGACAGGAGACATCTTAGACTTGCTTGTCACAGGTTCCGTCTTCAACTGATGACTGATCCCAGTGATTTTGGACAGTCGCGCCAACACAGCTAAAAGCACGATCCCAAGCGTAGAGAACTGGTTATCGGCAAGGACAGTCGAAAAAGCGCTAAAGGAAAAGAGTTAGCCTGATTATTCGTAATAAGACTTCTTTTTTTCCATACATATAACATCTTGGGATTACGTGCGTGGCCAGGTGGGATTTAACCCCCGATCGGGCGAAATCCAAGGTGGCGCGTTTCAAGATGGATAGCCATTTCCACCATTTTGCTCGACGATGCTGATTCTTGTTTCGATGAAAGATCAGATGCAACATTGAGTGGACTTCCAGGATTTCCTTGTCCATGTTGAGATGTTGGAGAAGATGAAAAGTGGGTTTTCCCGTACCTTTTTACTGTCTTATGGAGCTTTTGTACCCCAGAGGTCTCTACCCGTGGACCATTGCAAAGAACATATTCATTTCATTTGGCTACCTAACTTCACGTTTTTGGATTTTCCTGATTTTCGAAAAAGCACTAGAAATAGCAAACACAGAAAAAAGCAGAAAAAGCAAAAAAAGCAAAAAAAAAGAGAAAAACAGAGAAAAAACGCAGAAAACAGAGAAGCAATTAATTGTGAGAGCACAATTAATGGCACAATTCCGAACTGACAAAGGTCGGATCAGGAATGTGCGGTACAAAGGCAAATCTCTTAGCAGAGCAGCAGCAGGCAAGGCAAGGATGTTGCCAGGCATTCTGAGGAAGTTCTTCCATAGTGTTGTCGTTATCGCCTCTGAATGAGACCCTCTGTCGTGTGGTAGAGGAATGTTCAGAAACCGAGGAATAAGCCCACGCGGGCTATCTCAGAAATTGACCAGAGAAGAAGAGAAGAGTAGTGCACAATTCAAGCAAAGCTTGTGGGTCAACGACGGTGTTTCAATTCTTGCTGGTGTCAAAGGTCTTGGCATCGGGATGGCGGGTGCTGTTGATGTTTCATTTTTCATTTTTTTTTTTTTTTTTTTTTTTTTTTTTTTT